GGTAATGATATGATGAGAGGCGTTTCAGGAGGTCAGAGGAAAAGAGTAACAACAGGTCTCTTTCACTCTCTTTAACTTATCTATTCTCACCAAGCTCTGGTTATGCTAAACTTATAAATCTTGACACAATGCAGGAGAGATGACTGTCGGGCCAAGAAAAACTTTGTTTATGGACGAAATTTCTACTGGCCTTGATAGCTCAACGACTTTCCAGATTGTGAAATGTGTCAGAAACTTCGTCCATCTAATGGATGGGACTGTTCTTATGGCACTTCTTCAGCCTGCACCAGAAACGTTTGATCTGTTTGACGATTTGATTCTTCTATCAGAAGGTTACATGGTGTATCAAGGTCCTCGACAAGATGTGGTGGGATTTTTCGAGTCTCTAGGATTCCGTCTCCCACCACGTAAAGGTGTTGCAGATTTTCTCCAAGAGGTATACATCCTTGCTCTTTTCTTTGGTTTGATTTTAAGTCATGTTTTGGCTACACATATAGTTTTACTTTCTTGTTGTATTTTCAATGCATTTTACATAACTACAACATCAAAAGGTATAGGTATAGGTTCTTGATATTTTGTTATATTGGTATGTAGGTGACGTCTAAAAAGGATCAAGCTCAGTACTGGGCAGATCCTTCGAAGCCTTATCAGTTCATTCCTGTCTCGGACATAGCATCTGCATTCAGAAACTCGAAATACGGACATGCTGCAGATTCCAAGCTTGCAACACCGTTTGATAAGTCATCCGCGGATCCTTCAGCTTTGTGCAGAACAAAGTTCGCCATATCAGGATGGGAAAACCTTAAAGTTTGCTTTGAACGAGAAATACTATTGATCAACCGTCACAGATTTCTTTACACTTTTAGGACATGTCAGGTATAAGTCTTACCTATTTTCATTACTTCCATGTTTTGCATCGGTATATGTTTCTGATCTGACTCATTCTGTTTCCCTTAAAGGTTGCATTTGTGGGATTTGTCACAGCCACGGTGTTCTTGAGAACTAGATTACACCCAACAAGCGAAGCATATGGCAACGAGTATCTATCTTGCCTTTTCTTCGGCCTAGTGCACATGATGTTCAACGGTTTCTCTGAACTGCCTCTCATGATTTCACGTCTCCCGGTATTCTACAAGCAAAGGGACAACTCGTTTCATCCTGCTTGGTCTTGGTCTATTGCCAGCTGGATACTGCGTGTGCCTTATTCTATCCTTGAAGCTGTTGTCTGGACTTGTGTGGTATATTACAGTGTGGGACTTGCTCCCTCTCCAGGCAGGTTGGTTAACATTTCTCTAGACTTCTTTTTCGATTTTTTAGTTTTGGTGTCTCTTTGACAAATTTTCTTGTTGTTTCTCTTAGATTTTTCCGATACATGTTACTCCTTTTCTCGGTGCATCAAATGGCTCTCGGTTTATTCCGTATGCTGGCTTCTGTAGCAAGAGATATGGTTATTGCCAATACATTCGGATCTGCATCAATCTTAATAGTGTTCTTGCTTGGAGGATTCGTTATTCCAAAAGGTGTATAATTATTACTACTTTTTCACTTCTTGCATTAAAGAAACCGACTTGTATCATCAAGTTCTTATACTAAAACCCTATCATCTTTTGACAGATGATATTAAACCATGGTGGACTTGGGCTTTTTGGGTTTCGCCGTTATCCTATGGGCAACGTGCGATTGCGGTCAATGAATTCACAGCCACACGGTGGATGGAGGTCTGTTCAATAATCTATTTTCTTGTGTTAATAATAGTTGGTTAGAATATACAATGCCTAACTATAGACATTTTAACATCCTGCAGCCATCCGCTATATCGGATACTACAATTGGATTGAACCTTCTAAAGCTACGCAGTTTTCCCACAAATGACAATTGGTATTGGATTGGAGTTGGGGTCCTCATTGGTTATGCACTTCTCTTCAACAACATTGTCACTGTCGCCTTGGCTTATCTTAACCGTAAGAGTCTCTCTATTGCTAATGATCATTTCTCACAGATCTTTGTAGCAATATTGTGAAGCTTACTTCTTTTTCTTTTCTTGTCTTGCAGCTCTAAGAAAAGCTCGAGCAGTTGTTTTAGACGATCCCAATGAAGAAACCCGAACTGCTTTAGTATCAGATGCAAAACAAGAAAAAAGTGAGAAAAAAGGAATGATTCTTCCATTCAAACCATTAACAATGACTTTCCACAATGTTAACTATTATGTTGATATGCCACAGGTCTAATTCACTTCTCTGTTTCACTTCAGTCATATGAGTCCTTATCTATCGTTGCATAATGATTATTGCTTTGAAATCTCAGGAAATGCGTTCTCAAGGTGTACCAGAGACAAGACTACAGCTGTTATCAAAAGTGAGTGGAGTCTTCTCGCCTGGTGTTCTTACAGCTTTGGTTGGATCAAGCGGTGCGGGCAAAACTACGTTGATGGATGTTCTTGCGGGTCGCAAGACAGGTGGCTATACCGAGGGAGATATTAAAATCTCTGGTTACCCAAAAGAACAACAAACGTTTGCTAGAATCTCTGGATATGTTGAGCAGAACGATATACATTCTCCTCAGGTCACTGTTGAAGAGTCCCTATGGTTTTCTGCTAGCCTTCGTCTTCCTAAAGAGATAAGCAAAGAACAGAAAAAGGTAAGTATGAATGAGTTTTACCTCATTTGGTTCCTATTTAGATAGTTTCACTAAAAAAGGATACCTTTTGTGTTTTGTTTAGGAATTTGTGGAAGAAGTAATGGGACTTGTAGAGCTTGATAGCCTGAGATATGCGATAGTAGGTCTACCTGGTACAACAGGACTTTCTACAGAGCAGAGGAAACGTCTAACCATTGCGGTTGAGTTGGTGGCAAATCCATCGATAATTTTCATGGATGAACCAACCTCTGGGCTTGATGCAAGAGCAGCTGCAATTGTGATGAGAACTGTTAGGAACACTGTTGACACTGGCAGAACAGTGGTTTGCACCATTCACCAACCCAGCATTGACATTTTTGAAGCATTTGACGAGGTTTGCCCTAACTTTTGCTTGGATTACAAGAAATTTCGTTAGTCAATGGTGTTAACCTGTTTGCTATTTTGCTTAACTTTAAAAATACAGCTTCTTCTAATGAAACGAGGAGGACAGGTTATATATGGTGGGAAATTGGGTCAACACTCACAGGTTATGGTAGACTACTTTCAGGTACTTGTCTTTGGCCTTCTCTTCTTTTGTGATCATAATTGGTACTTATATGCTTGTTACCCAAGTAAACTAAATTGACAAACCCTAATTAAACCCTCTGCAGGGAATTGACGGAGTCCCTGCAATCTCAAGTGGTTACAATCCAGCAACTTGGATGCTTGAAGTAACCACGCCTGCTTTGGAGGAGAAATTGAACATGGACTTTGCAGATTTATACAAGAAATCTGAACAGTTTAGGTAAAACTATCCCAATTCATTTTGTTACATCTTTTAACAGTCACTATCAAAAAAATCAAGTCTAACCATACTGTGTATTTATCTATACAGAGAAGTGGAAGCAAACATCAAACAACTAAGTGTTCCACCAGAAGGCTCAGAGCCAATAAAGTTCGATTCAAGATACTCACAGAACCAACTGTCTCAGTTTCTACTCTGCCTCTGGAAACAGAACCTTGTCTACTGGAGAAGCCCAGAATACAACCTCGTGAGATTGCTCTTTACAACGGTCGCTGCGATTATACTCGGCACTGTTTTCTGGGACATCGGTTCCAAGAGGACTTCCACACAAGATTTGGTCACAGTAATGGGAGCTCTCTACTCGGCTTGTCTGTTTCTTGGAGTTAGTAACGCTTCATCGGTACAACCAATCGTTTCAATCGAAAGAACAGTTTTCTACAGAGAGAAAGCCGCGGGAATGTATGGTCCAATTCCATATGCAGCAGCTCAAGGCCTTGTGGAGATACCTTACATTCTCACCCAAACCTTTCTCTATGGTGTCATCACATACTTCACCATTGGTTTTGAAAGAACACTCAGTAAGTTTTTCATTAAATCTTTTTTTTTTTGCATGAATCTCAATCTTTCTTTCTATGCATATCAACCATATTTATTATATTTCGAAAATGCAGGCAAGTTTATACTCTACTTGGTGTTCATGTTCCTCACTTTCACCTACTTCACCTTCTACGGCATGTTGGCGGTTGGTCTCACCCCGAATCAGCACTTAGCCGCTGTTATCTCTTCTGCGTTTTACTCTCTCTGGAATCTCCTCTCTGGTTTCCTTGTCCAAAAACCTGTAAGTATTACACTCATCTATCAAGTAAAAATGTCGTTAGATATTTGTGGTTTAATGGGATCTTTATAATGTTTACCCTTTTAGCAGTCTTTTAAACTCACTTTTTGTTTTTTGTGTTTTGGTTCTTCAGTTGATTCCAGTGTGGTGGATATGGTTCTATTACATTTGCCCAGTGGCGTGGACACTTCAAGGAGTGATCCTGTCACAGCTTGGTGACGTGGAGAGCATCATCAATGAGCCTATGTTCCATGGCACCGTCAAGCAATTTATTGAACAATACTTCGGCTACAAGCCAGACATGATCGGTGTATCTGCTGCTGTTCTTGTCGGGTTTTGCGCTCTCTTCTTTTCTGGATTCGCACTTTCAGTCAAATTCCTCAATTTTCAGAGAAGATAGAAGGAAGAAAAAAAGACCCAAAAAAAAAGGATTTTACTTCTTCTTTTTTTCCTCATTTTATCACTCACGTGTAACGTTTTGCTCTTCCAATAGTTCCCGTTGCGCAAGTAGTTAGTTTTTTTATATATAAAACCACAGAGACAGACTTAGAGTTAGTTTTGCTGACATTGACGACACAATAAACCCAAAAAAATAAGAAATATTTTTTGCTCTGTTTAGGGTTCTTTTAGTTTTGGAAAAGCCCCGTGTGTTTTTGTTTTTGTTGTTTAATTGGTTTTGTAGTTTTGAACAGCTAATCTGGGGTTGATCCGGTTTATAATTTGAAGGTTACACATTTTAATTCCATGAATATATTGTTAGCTTAATTGCTATCTTTCAAAAATCAAAATGGAGCAAAGTTGGAAAATGCAAACTGCTAAAGGTTTCCTTAGTGTTTTTTTTTTTTGTTTAATCCACGAAAGCTATGGAAAAGCTCAGACACTCTTTGACAATTCTTCATGATTCTTGAGCTATCCTCACTTTTTTACATCACCGTCCAATAAAATCCTTCCAACGACTCTCTCTTTTCAACACACATTGGTCCTTCACGAAATCCTGTCACGGTCATCTTCTTTAACCGTATAAACCGCTTTACGAGTCGGCAAACAAAAGTTCCCACTCGTCAACGTCCGGTGAATGACTTTCTCCGTGAAGCTTGATCTTCGAGACGTCGATCGCTCGTCGGAAACAATCGGTAGAGCAAAGCGAGGTCCTGTAAAGATGAACGAAGACGATGAAGTTTGGGATACGCTGAGTAATGGCTTCAAGCGTGCGCAGCTCGTTCTCGATCAGAACCGTGATTTGATCCAACGCGTCAACGAAAACCACCGGTCCCGAATACCAGACAACGTCACCAGAAACGTTGGCCTGATCAACGAGATCAACGGTAATATCTCTAGAGTTATGGAGACTTACACCGATTTATCTTTCGAGATCACCAAAATGTTCCACGAGCGGCAAAGGAGCGGTCAAGAACGGTGACACGACGACCATCACCACCGGTTCCTACGTCGGTGGACGGAGATCTTGCGGTTCTTGAGGATTAATCGCAAGTAAATTCGATCACTACACTAAGCTCTGTTTTTATGCCGTCGTCTCTGTTCTAAGTGATGGATATGCACTTGTTCTTGCATTATATGAACGTATACTGCATAGTCTCTTAAGGCGTGTGTTCTAAGGTATTTATATATGCTTGTGTATTTAGCTTTATTCTCTACTCAGTTCTTGATTCTGCATGTCTCCATTCGTATATAATCATCACAAGTTTTGTTGATTGATATTATACATTTCAATGGTCGGTTTGTTTGGACAATGAGTTGAAATAGGTTTTATTACTATAAGATATGAGTTTTACACTCTTACACCCAAAAAGATGGATCTGGTTTGTTATATTGCCAAGTCTTGGATATGTCATGATGATCTCACAGAGAGTGTCCATCAATGAGGAAATGAGTGTGAAGTGGATTCTTTAGAATTTTGAATTGTTACGTGGGTATTCTTGGAGTACACGGTATTAATACAAAGAATATATCTTGGGTTCATTTACGGATTACACTTTTCTCTCTCTTTCTTTCTCTCTCGTAAATCTCCCTTGTTATGGGATGGGCAAATATCTTCCTCTGTTTTTTTCGTGTGAATTTGGGTCCATCAAATTAAATAGTCAAGTGAAGAAGAGCTAATTAAAAGAGAGTGACTCTAAAACTGAAGGGTATCCAATTCTAATTCTATTTAGAATATGCTCTTTGGTATTTCCACTCTTCTTTATTTCTCTCGTGGTTGTGGATAGAAATAAGCGAGAGTATCGACATATAAGGTGCTACGTGACATCATATTTATACAAGTGGTGGAAACATCAAGTAATTGAATCTGCGCCTTTGTCTTTGATACGAGTAGCTTTTGCTAGATTTGCAAATTGCCACCAAAAGTGGAGAAGAAAAGACAAGTCTCACATCAAAGACACTCTCAAAAGTCACAACGTCTATTATTTAAAGAAAACGAAAAATCTCTGAAACTGAAGTGATTTTGTTCCTGTGATTGCATTTGGGCCGTGTTTATAGTATAGAACAACTCAAGAACCTAAATATCAATCATGAAGAAGAAATGCTTAGGGGTTTAGAGAGGAAGCTCTCCACTGTCTGCGATAACGACTTTGCTCTTGGGAGTTCCGCTTTGCTTTCCCTCAGCCTCAATCTTGTACACAACATCCATTCCTTGAACCACTTTCCCAAACACCACATGTCTTCCATCTAACCAGCTTGTTTTCACGGTCGTGATAAAAAACTGTGAACCGTTTGTGTCTTCTCCAGAGTTTGCCATCGAAAGCAAACCTGTGTCCCATTCAGATTTTCAAACCATCAGCCTTCATAACAATTTCATGAAACTTCCTATGTGCTTAAGCAAACTTGGCTTAGAGAAAAAAATGATGATCACCTGGCCCGGTGTGCTTCAGCTTGAAGTTCTCATCTGCAAACTTCTGACCATAAATTGATTCTCCACCCATACCGTTTCCGTGCGTGAAGTCACCTCCCTGGATCATAAAGCTTGGGATGATTCTATGGAATTTGCTTCCCTTGTAGTGTAGAGGTTTCCCGCTCTTCCCAACACCTTTCTCCCCTGTATCCCTCGAAAAATTTAATCACTTTATCACAACCCAGCTCCAAAATCATGAACAACATGTAACTCTACATTGTGAAAACATTCCATATGATCTTCTTCATACTCTACATCAGACCTCCAAACAAGTGTTCAGGAAGATACTTAGGACACTCTTTGTCCTCCTAATATTGTTTCCACGTTATAGTAATATAATTAGTAGCTTACCTGTGCACAGAGCTCTGAAGTTTTCTGCAAGAAGGAAACACACTCACGGATTACTCTCTTGGATTAAAAATAATTTGGAGCCATGATCATAAGTTCAGTACCATATATATTTTACCTGCAGTTTTTGGAACTGTCTTGCCAAATAAGCCTATAACAACTCGACCTGCGAGCAACAAAGTCATCAGAGAATCAAACTTCAAAAGAAACCAAGAATCCGATGTGTATTTGATGAAGAAATGATCAAAAACAAATTAAACTTTCAAGTACTATAAAGACATTCATTTTTCACAAATCAGTAAGCTGAAAAACAAACATTTCCACTAAGATCCATCGATTCATACCAGCATCTTTCCCTTCAATCTCTACATCGAAGTAAACCTTGTGAGTGATTTCCTTCAGATCTTCCTTTGCCTGAAATCCCAATCACAGAAATTCATTAGAAAAAAAATCAATCTGTTGACTTCCACTAGAACGTAAAACAAGGATACGTTGACTGTCATCAACTACAGATTCAGTGCCAACTGAAGATTCTAGCTTACAAAACTGAGTAATTGCAATCTGTTTAATGAACAATTTGTAGATCTGGATCGTTGTGGTTTAGATTCAGTGTCGTAATGAATGTAATGAAACATTGAACGGATCCAGAATCTGAAGGAGAAAAAGCTACCTGGATAAAAGCTAGGGCTGCGAAAAGCAGGAGTGTTCCAAGTAGAATAGAGCTTGCTTTCGCCATCTCCGTGATCGTTTTTCTACTCAATCGGAGCAGAAAGATGGAAGAATGTTTATGTTTTTTATGATCGGATCGCTAACATACGCCGGTTTTAGTTATTGGGCTTTTGGTGGATTTATCATGGGCTTTTTAATCTAACGTAAGCCTTCTATCGTTCTAAAATATACGATAGACGCTACAAAAGCACAAATGTACGAGAGCAAAGGCAATTTGTGCTTTCTTTCAAGAAAGTAGACTATGCAAATTGATCATGGAGTAAGTCACGTGACGTGAGTGATAAAAATTAATTTACATAAGAAAATGAGTATTCTCATGATTTTAAAAACATTTGAACAATTTTTCATTTTCTATAAAAATATTTTGCAAATTGCAAATGGAAAATGGAAAATGGAAATGGCAATTTCAATCGAAAATGAAAAAAAAAGTAAACGTAAACTTAATGTTTTCTATTTTCACCTTCCATTTAAGTATGCAATTTAGTTTAAATTTATTTGTTAATTGTAAATGCAAATGGAAGTAGAAAACCTTAAATTTTCAATATTTCGGATGCGCAATTTTTCACTGGTTCATGAACCATAACTGGTTTACGAAAAATATCTTATATTGAAAGTAGTATATAAAAAATTTAGTAATATTCTAATATATTGTTAATTGGTTTTGAGTTAGAAAATTATTAAATTTAACATATTACATACGCTAATCAAAGCCGTAACCTTAATACTGATTTTTAAAATTTTAAAAAGAAATAATCGGTTTTGACTCGTTACGAAAAGACATACAAAAAATAGGTTACCACAATTGACCAATTAACAATTAACACAAACATTGTCGTGGTAAGAAGTGTCACTAGAGACGACAAGGACACCACCCAAAAGTTCGACCTATCTCTCTACTAAACATAATCATCGTTGCGTCATTTATGTCCCATTTTAATTTCAATCACTTAATACTTGACGCATGTCAAGACAACATGTTCTTGATATATTTACTAGCCCTGGGCATAAAACCTGCACCCGAAAAATTAATCTGAAACCGACCCGAAAATTCGGGTTCGGATCGGGTTCGGGTCGTTCAAAAACACCGAATGGTTATGATGCTGGATTACTTCGGTTCATCGGTTCGGTTCGGATTAACTGATGATAACCGAATTAAACCGATATAACCCGAAATAAAAGAAAACTTGTTTTTCATCCAGAATGTCTCTTCTCCTCCTTCTTTCACGACACTTTCCCAAACCTGTAACTCGATTTAGGGCAAAAACACAAAATTTCAATCTGGATTCATCTAATTTCAAAACCCCTTTCACTCCAATCTCTGAGGCATCGAGAATTCGGTCTCAGGTAAAAACCCTTTCCCAAACTCGATTTAGCTATTTTTTAGTGTTCGGTAATCGGTGTTATGCCCAGGGCTAGAATTGATTTCGTTTATATTTCGTTTTTCTGATTTATATTTTGTTTTTCATAGCTTTAAGTTTCGATTTTGGGTTTAATAGCTTCGATTTCGATGTTAGATGTTAATAGCTTTGATATCGATTTGTTTGCAAAAGTTATATGGTGATCAAAAGTTAGTTTCGATTTGTTTAGGAAAGGTATATATCTGTGGACGTGTGGTAGTTAAACTCATTGCTTTGCTAGTTTGTTTGAATCGAGCTTGAACTCTATGTATTTGCAGATGGATTCATCATCAGAACCAACCCCTACGAGCACAGATGCAGCAAACACTCACGGTCCTTATGAAGATCTTGATGATGATGAGATTGAAACACCTGCGAGTGGGGGAAAAAGAAAACAAACCGGTGAAGGCTCTGCTTCTCAGCAACCAAAGCAGATGAAGCTTCTTGATCCAAGATCTGATGTGTGGAAGCATTACACGAGGACCAAAGAAGACAGAGACAGGTGCATATGCAACTACTGTCGGCGGTTGTATAGGTGTCCAACAACATCAGGGACCACAAATTTGAGGAACCATCTTGCAAAATGCAAGCATTTCATCGCATGGAGTGAGGGTCAACAACAAAGCAATGGCAAGACTCAGAGTGTACTGAATCAGGGTGGTGGCCTCGGTGTGGCAAAAGTGTCCGAGAAAGTTTTTAGGGAAGCAACAGATGAGATGATTGTTCTTGCGGAGCTCCCACTTAGCTTTGTGGATAGCATAGCTTGGAAGCATTTCTGCGATAAATGCAGGCTCTACGATCCTCACTCTCGGAGGACTGCTACCAGAAACATTTGCGGGATGTATGTGGCTAAGAAAAAAGCTTTGAGGGATGTCATTAGAGCCAACAAGCATCGTGTCTCTCTAACAACTGACATATGGGTTGCTCAGCCTACAGGTATAGACGTCTGGTTTCTTTTTTTTTAGTGTTCGTATAGAATTTTTACCATTCTATTTATATGTTCATTTTTTATTTGTTAACTCTGGTTTCTTTATTCAACAGGGGCTAGTTATATGGTGATCACTATTCACTTTGTGGACATGTTTTGGAGGCTAAAGAAGTACATCATCGGCTTTAAACATGCCACTGATCACAAAGGTAAGACAATATCAACTGTTCTCTTGGACTGTCTAGCTGAATGGGGAATAGATAAGGTGTTTAGCATCACTGTTGACAATGCAACAGCGAACGGTTCTGCTATAAGTAGATTTCATAGGGCATTTGAGTTAAGAAATCCGGAAGCATTTGTGCTCGGTGGTGATTATTTCCACATAAGGTGTTGTGCTCATATCATTAATTTGATTGTGCAAGATGGTTTGAAAAAAATAGAGTCAAGTGTGAATGCAATTCGCAATGCTATCTGTTATGTTAGATCAAAAACAACTAGGCAGAGTTCATTTGAACTAAGAGTTGACTCGGGAAAGCTGAAAAGGGGTAGTTTGCCATTGGATGTTAAAACAAGGTGGAATTCTACTTACACAATGTTGCATAAGGCGTCGAAGTACAGACATGCATTTGACAGGATGGCCAGAGAGGATAAGCTGTATCTTGATCATTTTACTGAGTTAGAAGGTGGGAAAGTAATAGTTGGACCTCCTTCTGTAATTGACTGGGATAATGTTGAGAGGTTGAACCATTTTTTAGTCGTCTTCTATGAGTCTACTCTTCAGGTATCAGCTTCAACCACTCTGAACTCTTACAAATGCTATGGGGAAATAGTCACCATCGAGAAAACCTTGATGAACCTTACCACAAGTGCAGACGCAGAAATAAGAACAAAGGCTGATGCAATGCTGCTCAAGTTCGACAAGTATTGGGATGGGATGAAGGTTTTAAATAAAATGCTTATCATAGCATCAGTGTTGGATCCTAGAAAAAAAATGGATTTAGCTAACATGTGTTTTGCGAGACTATATGGTGAGAACAGCAAAGACGCACAAGAACTCAATGCCTCAGTCCTAGTGGTTCTGCGAGCACTATTTGATGAGTACTCCTCTAGATTCTCTTCAGCTCCAAACTCGCAGTCCTCACAGTCTAATCAGGCACAATCATCAGAGCATTCACAAGGTTTAAGAGAGGAAGTAATAGATGATGATTTGGGGTTGGGATATGAGAGGATGGATTCTATCTACAAAGCAAAGGTTGCTGAAACAAGAGTCAATGATAAAAAGGACGAGTTAGATAGATATCTTAAGGAGGGTGTTGAGGTCGCGAACACATTACCTGGTGTTGAGTATGACGTGCTTGACTGGTGGAGAACAAACTGTTCCAGGTTTCCTACACTTTCCCAAATGGCAAAGGATGTTTTGGCAATGCAGGTCTCCTCTGTGGCATCTGAGAGTGCTTTTAGCACTTGTGGACGCATCATAACTCCAGCTCGAAGCTGTCTTATTCATTATATGGTGGAGGTGCTCATGTGTACGGAGCAATGGATGAAGGAGGAAATTCGGTGTAAAAGTGAAAGTGGCTTGGTTACAATGGAGCAAATCAATTCTGAATATGAATTTTTGGACAACCTTATGAGAGGTATGTTATGGTTTTGGCTTGTTTATTTATATTTTTATGTCATTTCACTTGTTCTAACTTCAACTTCTCTTAATTCTTTATGTAGAGTTTGATGATCCAATAAGTGTGGAAGATTGAATCTCACCCTATTAATGACTTCAACAATCGACAATGGGTAAGTAGTATCAAAATATTGAATTTGGTTTTGTTTTGTTATAAAATTTGTATTGGTTTCTAATTTTATTTAAAGATCGGTTTTGTCTTTTCAGATGCATCTTTGATTTGCTATGAAGTTCACACTTTTTGGAGGCTGGAGTTATGCACTATCTCAGTTTCTGTTTATTCTCTTTGTCATTTTGATATTTTAGTATGAACTAAGATGATTTGGACTTTGATGGTTTGAATTTTTATTCTTAAACTAAGTATGAATTAAGATGGTTTGGAGTTTGATATTTTAGTGTGAACTAAGATTGTTGGAGTCTGATCTATTTTTGCTATTTTTGTTAAGTTTTATTTGTTATAGCAATTTCGGTTTTTGCAGAAATTTTTTTTCGGGTTTTCGGGTTTGTCAGATTTAACTAACCCGAGTTATCCGATTTCAAATTTTATCGGTTTATTTCGGTTTTTATTTGTTAAATCCGATCCGATCCGAACCGAACCGAATTTTTTGAAATAACCGAATGGTTTATAAAATTCAAATCCGAAAATCCGATAATCCGGAATACCCGATCCGAACCCGATCGGGTATCCGAATGCCCAGGCTAATATTTACAAAATTCATACATAATTACATTTTTGATCCACACACTTACGAAACATTTGCTTTTCATCCGTAATCGCTTGAGCTTTCCAACTCAAGTACCCATCAAAAAAAGCCATTAGCTTTATTATATAAAGTAGGGTAATTATAAAAGTTAAAAAAATCTGCGTTATCTTTTGACAATTGTCGAAGTGTTCATAATCCTTATAAAAGACAAATAATTTTTCACTCTGTTTTGTTGTAAAAGTTCAATATTCACATGATATTCTCCACCTCGAAGGGATGCATACACTCACAGATCCACCATATAAAATATCTGCACTAGATGGACGAATAGTTTGGAGCTATAACCTTTTCTGTCGGCTGGGGTCATAAAGTTAATAGCTT